TAGCAGCATGGAGCAGAGATGAGGCGCGGCCTCGGACAGGAAAGCAAGCTCGTACTGCCGGTCCTCTAGGACGTCACTGCCGATGGCAGGAGCACCCCCGATAGACGGAGGACAAACAGGGTCAGGGACTAGAGCAGTAGCGTAGTCAAGGCGGTGAGTAGAGGCATAATCAGCGACGGCAACAACATGTGCGTTAAGACTCGAGACAGGAACAGATGGGTCGGTAACAAGGGAGGCAAGGACCCAAGAACAAGAGGACTAGTAGCACGAAGGGAGGCAGACAGAGGAGGAGGAGCAAAAACAATCGACGACGGAGGAGGCGATGGGAGGAGGGGAGGACGAGACGCGTAGGAACGAAGCAACAGAGGGTGAGAGCACTGAACAAGGAAGACAGGTCGAGCATGAGAGGGACGACGAGACCAGAATTAGGAGGAAGACGTTGGGTCGGGAGTCACAGGAGGAGAATGAAGGGGGATACGAGCCGAGGACGAGTCCAGCGGAGGAAAGACACGGCCGTAGACAAGCAGAGGATGCGGCAGTGGGGGAGGCGCAGGCGGGTGGTCAATGGAGGGAAGACCGAGGAGGTGAAGGGCGGACACCGACGGCGACTGCTGCTGCTACTGCTGCTCCGCGCCGACACCGGAACCTCCAGCTACACCACGGCGACCTCTGGCACACTCCACACGAACAACCCCACAGCGAGAACCCTCTCCAGCACCGGTGCCACCCGCAAGACTGATGGGACGAGCCACGACAGTAACCCCAAGACTAGCACCCCCAGAGGCAGCACCCTCAGAACGAGAACCCTTTCCAGCACCTTGCGACCCCCAGGACTGTCAGGAAAAGCCACGAGAGGAACCTTAGGACTAGCACCCTCCTCAACGCCCACACCCTCAGAGCTTGCGGACACTTGCGGCGGCTGCTGCTGTGGTGGCGACGATGGCGGTTGCTTCTTCGGCGGCGACTTTTGCGATGGCGGAGGAGGAGACACTGGGGCGGAGAAAGGTGGCGAGAACGGTGCCACGGGGCCACCAAGGTCAGCCGACTCCTTGACCGGGACAGCTGACAGGAGGGGAGTGACGCGAGACACACCAGACGAGGCAGGATGGGAAGGGAGAGGAGTAGGGGCTACAGGGGGAGTGGGAACCAGAAACAAGGGCGGGGACACCGGGAGACCTCGGTGGAGAAAGTGGTGATAGAAGGAGACAGACTCGTCAAAAGTGATGGCAAGCGAATGAAAGAAGCGGTGGGACGGCGGATGGTAAAAGTGTCATTCAGACGCGTCGAGGGGGAAACCAAGGAAGACACAAGGGACAGTGCGAATAGTGAGCTTGTCCGTGCCAGAGGCACGAACGTGAGCAAGGCAGCCCCAGACGTGGAACGCAGACGTGTGACCAGGGAACTCGGTCTAGAGAAAGGTCGGCGAAACCTGCGGCCACAAGTTAAGCTGGTGAGCGACGTAGCGAACAGTGAATGACCACCGTAGATGGGATGCACCGGCATGGATCATGGAGGTACGAGCCACCTCCATGACCAAACCGATGTGTCGCTCAGCGACCCCATTCTGCTGCGGGGAGTTCGGCAGTGTGTATGACTGGGTGATGCCCTTTGGACAACAGAAGTGGCCAAGCCGACCGGAGGCGAACTCGTCGCCACGGTCAAAGTGGAGACGCCGCTTAGGGAGGCTGCGGTGGAATCGCGCTGCTACGATCCATGGGGCAAGAATGCTAGGCACGTCGGCCTTCCGCTCCAGAGGAAACACCGTGGTGTAGCACGTATAGTCAACAACAAACACTAGAAAGTAACGCTCTCGACGCAGCCTAGGGACGGGGGCTGGGCTGCCGACATCCAGGTGTAGGGTTTAGAGTGGCGCAATGGTAGGGGGAAGCGAGGAGCAGTGAGGAGCATGTCGCAGCCGGCCCTTGACGCAAGGCGTACACGGCTACGCAAGCAAGGGAGGAAGGGCAGGAAGCGACGAAGGGAGACCAACGACAAGACCGTAATGGGACATGTGACGCAGACGCGGGAGTGCGGGTTGACATAGGAGGTGGTGCCACAGAAGCGACGGGTAAGTGAGCGATCGACACGAGCAAGTTGCAGCAGTATTCGTTGATATAGACACCTACGGGGATGCAGTGTCAAGGGTAAATAGGCTAGACACAAGGTCCCGGGGGACTGTGGTCAGAGGGGCACCAGTGGCGGCCTCGACACAGATCGCGTACCTCTCGTGTCCGGGGAACGTAGTGGTGATACCGAGGTCCTGAAGACTGCCGACACCAACTAGGTTCTAGGAGAACGAGGGTATGTGCAGGCCTGTAAGAGAACCCGAGGGGATCGCCGGACAGGGAAGGGTGGTGGAGCTACGGGCAACTACCGGACCTGAGGAGGGGTCAGCAAGTGCGACAACGGTAGGGGCGGCAAGCGGCGTCAGCATAGTATGGTCGCGGAAGAAGCAGGCAGACGCTCCAGAGTCGAGCATGAAAGAGAGCGCAGCAGTATCGTCAACCGGCGGAGGGGCTAGCGTGGAGCCTAGGCTAAACAAGGCAGGCGGTCCTACACCTGACGCAGCAGGGGAGCCTAGACGAGACAGAGAGGACACACCTATGCTAGGCAACACTAGGTAATAGGGTCCAGTCACACTAGAGTCATCAGCATACATGACAGACATAGCAGTCATAATCTGATCCACGTTCATCTCAGAGACAGGCACACGGCGGCGCACTAGGGCGTACCAGTCAGGGGGGTCCGACGTGGGATTGAAGCGGAGATGGAAGAGGTCATTGAGGCGGCAGTAGCAGAGTGCGGTGGTGTGACCGGGACGGTTGCAGACGATGACGCGGCAGGGGGCGGGCTTAAGCCGGTACTGGTAGGTGACCACATTGACCTGCCACCAGACACCGAGCTGCGCCCCCCACCACCACGTCCACCACCACCAGCACCGCCTGTCCACCACAACGGCGGGGGTCCCCACGGCGACTGCTGCTGCTGAGTCTGCTGCCGCTGCTACTGAGGCTGCTGTTCCTGCTGCTGCTCCGGGGCACCAGCCCCGGTCTCCTCGGTTGAACCACCATCCCCGCCCCCACCTCCATCACCCCCACCACCCCCACCACCCTTCCCCCCGCCACGCCCCCCCTTGGGGCGGCGTCCCCTACCCTGACGCGACTGCGCTGAGGCCGTAGCGGCTGTCTCAGCAGCAGGGGCTATCTTAGCGACAGTGGCAGAAAGGTCAAAGTACGTGCACTGGGAGGGAGCACAACCCTGAAAGATAGGGACCACCGAAGTACGGCTAGACTGAGCGATAGTGCGCTGGTAGGTCTCTATCGCAGATAGGGCGGTGACAAATGCGGTAAGGGTGAGGTCACATGGGTGCTGACTAAGGAAGTGCTCGCGGGCAGTGGCTAGGTGGTCCGGAAGGCGCGTAGCAATGAGGTAAAGGGTAGCACAAAGCGGCGACGGAAAGGCAATGAGCTGAACTTCAGTGCTAGCGGCGTGGTAGCTAGCCTCAAGTACGCGGAGGTGAGTGGCAAGATCGGCGACTGTGGGGAAGGACGCAAGATCAGGGAATAGCATGGGGAGAATCAGGCGGCCAGCAAAGGCTGAGGCGGGCGTTGAATAGCGCGTAACAACTGCATCTAAGAATTCCTGGGCGTTCACTACAGTGGTAAAGGGGGGACGTTCAGTCAAGGGGGGGGGCGTGCCTAATAGCAAGCTGCGCAACGCCGTCGCGCGACTCCTAGACAGCGCGAGCAAGCGCAGCAGTGGAAAAGGCCACACGCTCAGCAGTGGTGGGGGCATCAGGGAGGGCAGCAGGCGCAGCGGGGCGGGGAAGCATGCCATCGACATGAACAGCCGGGGAGTTGCCGTCCTGGCGCTGACCTGTCAAGTGAAGGCGAAGGTCGACGAGCCACGCCTCGAAGTCGATCGCCCGCCCCTCCGCGTCCAGGCGGAGCACAGCGTCTGCCATCCCACGATTTCAGCTACACGGTGGCACGACGACACGGCGGCATACCGACACGGCGCCACAGTGGTATGGCGATACAGCGGCACTGCAACACGGCGGCACTGCGGCACGACGGCACGGCGCCACGGCGTCACGGCGCCACGGCAGCACGGCGGTACAGCAGCACGGCGACACAGCGGTAATGCGGCACTGCGGCACGGCGACACGGCGGCGCCGCGGCACAGCGGCACTACACTGCGGCATGGGCCAGCGGGCGTGGGGCTAGCGGGTGCGGAGCTGGCAAGCGCAGGGGCCAGAGGAGAGTGGCTGGCGGTGAGTGGCTGGCGAACGCGAGGCCAGCAGGCCCGGGGCTGGCGAAATCAGGGCCAGCGGGCGCGGGGTGAGCGGGTGCAGGGCCGGCAGGCGCGGGGCCAGCAAGCGTGGGCTGGCGAGCGCGGCGCCGACGGGCACAGGGCTGGCGGGTGCGGAGCTGGCGAATGCGGGGCCAGCGGGTGCAGGGCTGGCGGGCACGAGGCTGGCGGGCACGGGACTGGCGAAAGCGGGGCTGGCGAAAGCGGGGCCAGTGAACGCGGGCGAGCGGGTGCGGGGCCAGCAGGCATGGGGCCAGCGAGCGGGGGGCTGGCGAGCGCGGGGCCGACGGGCACGGGGCTGGCGGGCGCGGAGCTGGCGAACGCAGGGCCAGCGGGCGAGGGGCCGACGGGTGCTGGGCTGGCGGGGGCGGAGCTGGCGAATGCGGGGCCAGCGGGCACGGGGTCAGCAGGCACGGGGCTGGCGAGCTCGGGGCCAGCAGGTGCGGGGCTGACGATCGCGGGGCCAGCGGGCGCTATGCGACGGGCGGCTACGGGCAGCTAGCGGCGAGCGGCTAGCAACGGGTGGCTGGAGACGGGCAGTTAGCTACGGGTGGCTAGCAACGGGCGGCTAGGTCTAGGGCTAGGACTAGGGCGGAAGCGTGGGCGGGCGGGATCCTAACCTAGCGTGATACCATATTAGCTGAGAAAGATTAACTAGAATGAGGGAAACATGGTGGTTTCGTCTAAGGGGCTGTACCCTCGAAGAGAGCGCGCCTATCTAGCCTATTAGACATATACAAATATGTTTGACATTACATTACATTCAACACGGAACAAGCCAGCTACCTATGCTCGAAGAACCGTGTCCATCACTACTCCTTAGTCTCATGTGGTACATCCACTATCCCAGGCGCCAGACCAGCTTCAGGGTTAACACCCTCCCCAGCTCCAGCAGCCTTCCGAACCTCCTTTGCGTGAGCCACGTTCTCCAGGCTCGGGCCCACACCGGACTGAGGCAGATCGAGCCCGAGCCTCCTGGCAGCAGAGGATTGGGAGGAGCTAGTAGTGCTGCCTGTAGCACCAGAAGAGCCACCAGATCCAGCATCAGCAGTAGCTGTGTTGTCAGGAGAGTGGGCCTCCCTAGCAGCGGTGCTGTCTGAACCCACATCTGCTGCAACACCATACTGCTTGGCCAGCGCTGCCTGCGCCCGCTCCTTCTCCCGGTACTCCAGAGAGATCGGGACGCCCTTGGCGCTGTTGAATGCACGGACGGAGGGAAGCAGCCGGAGCCTGTCCGGCCAGTTGCTGCTGCCGATCCTGCTGCTGCCCCTGCTGCTGGTGCTGCTGTTGCTACTCCAGAAGTTGCTGCTCCTGCTAGTGCTGTTGCTGGTGCTGGTGCTGGTGCTCTGGGGTATGGGCCTGCTGGAGGTATGATGGCTGAAACTGCAGTTGGAGGGGTTGCTGGAGAGGTTACTGCAGACACTGGCGGCCTGCGATTCGCCGTGGGGTACTATGTCGTTGCTGCTGCTGCTGCTGCGTGTGACATTGCTGCGCCAATGCCCAGTGTCCGATGTGCCTGTTGGGAGAAGTGGCTGAAACGGGCGAGGAGAGTCGCTCAGCGGATGGTCGTGCAACGGGATGGAGTTGTATGTTGGAACAACTCCCCAGATGGTGACGTGAACTCCTGATAGCACGCGGAGCAGCCCGGAGGAGGAGGATGAGGAGGAGGAGGAGAGGCACACCAACGCGGCTGCCCTTGGTATCGCCATAACCGCTCTGATAACAAGCGAGTTGGCGACTGTAGTGTCCCCGAACGCTCTCATAACGACGAGATAACGAGTCAAGGAGACAAGACGACGACGAGAGGTTAAGAGCTTCACGGAGCTCTGCCTCAAGGTGCGGCACAGTGTTCAATATCTAACAGTTGGCAAAAGTCCTCCGGGCCGGGGACTTGTTCAAGCGCCTCTCAGAATCAAAGAGATGCGGCAGTGAGGTACCGCGCGCTGAATCCCCCCGCAACTTTCTGACACTCTCGTCAGCTTCTACCTTACTGTCTAGCTCCTCCATGATGCCCCCCTCCGAAGTACAGAGTTTGCTCCGCGTCAAGTCTCAGCCAGCCGGGGCTTGAATGCCAATGAGGAATTTCAATGGCGGCTCTAGAAATCGAGTCGCGTTCTCTGCCAGGCGCTCTAAGCTACATGCCTTCGGCTTGAGGCCACGTGGCAAACAACTCCGACGCAAGCGCTTTGCTAGTGCAGGTCGCATACACAATTTTGCTGACATTACTCAAGGGCATATGGTAACAAGCGTTAAATTTGTACAAAATAAAGTAGACAGAAATGGCGTGTATTGCTAACCCACCCATTGGCCCTTTTATTTCAAACAAAATTCGTTTGGTTTCCAAAATATGGCCAAAACTTGGCTGATTAGGGGAACTGCCCTGTAAGAAATCGGGTCAATGCTTTACTACAATTAAAACAAATGTTAGGGCTCAGACATGGATATCGTAGCGAGGTCCATTTTTTACAAAGCTAGTGGTGAATCATTAATGGTGACAAATGAAGTTGCATGAAGTGTGTAAGGAATTTTCCATTCCTTGGCGCGCTAAACCGCTTACGCGTGCACCGACCCTACACGATACCGACATCAGCCCTGGCTTTGGCCTGAACACGTCGCACCGAACCTTTCCGCGACGAAATTCACGTACCGAATCATGTACAAGAAGGGTGTGCCAACAACATTGCCGACGCCCTCTCCAGACGATCTGCCCAACCCGGGGCTGAACTAATCGCCCACACGAGCCCGTTTCTGATTGGACTATTTACCCACGGATATTCGACTGATCCATTTTTTTGTAAACAACGCTCATCAGCAGGCCACGACTGCGAGGGGAGCCAATTACGTAAATGTGGATACGGAACGAGATTGGTTTCCGAGTTATCATATATTTCGCAAATTACTAATTCAATAAGTCCACGATTCGAACATATCGAGACATTTCGTGGTTGACAAGACTCTCAATGCACTACAGCGGTTTTACTACTGACCGAACATGATTTCGGAAGTGCAAAATTATGTAGGCCCGTATCCGACCTGCCAGACAATGAAATCATCACGCCAACGGCCAGCAGGACTATTGCAGCCCCTGAGCCACCCCAGCGACCTTGGCAACACGTGACAATTGAATTTGTAACCGGCCTGGCGGCCGGACCAAGTGGTAACAACGCTGTTCTTGTCGTTATCGAATGTCTCACGAAAATGGCTCACTTCGCGCCATTTCGCACGACGATCACAGCTGAAGAAATTGCTCGCGTGTTGATCTCGGCCGTCGTTTGCCTGCATGGTATCCCTTTGACGATCATTAGCGACAGAGATCCAAATTCCATCTCGCGTTTTTTGCAAGACACGTGCATCCAATACAACACCCGCCTACAATTCTCATCCGCCTATCACCCGCAAACCGACGGTCAGACAAAACGGACAAATCAGACCATAGAACAATTGATTCGCACGAACTGTCCGGATATCCGCAAGTGGGAAGACTCGCTACCCATGCTCGAGTTTTCCTACAACAACGCACCATCCGCCACGACCAATCATTCATATTTTTTCCTAAATCACGGGATGGGTCCGACAGTACCCACTTCCACCAACGTTGCAAATCAAGTCCCCCAATCGCAGCAATTCGTCGAAATCCTTCATCTCAGAGTAAAAAAATTGACTAGAATAGAGGGTACACGGTTAGTTTGACCTAGTGTGTTGTACTCTTTAAGAGCATGCACCTATCTAACATATAATCACATATGCATATAAGTTTAACACACCCCCTAGGCTAGACAAGGGGCAGTGCCTGACAAGAGACAGCAGCTCATGGTGGCACTACTAGTCCAACCTCTGAGGCAAGGGTCAGAAGACCAGCCAGAAGAGCACAAACAAGAAAGGAGCAAACTAGGGCAGCACTACTAGTCTGGCCACTGGAACAGAAGCCACAAGGCTAGTCAGAAGAATATATAAAAGATTAGAACACTACCAAGGTCTTAGCAAGTGAGGAGCTACTAGAACCAAACCAAGTTGTACACATTGCCGCTGATGATATTTAGGCGCAAGTGCCTTAGTAAAGATATCAGCTATGTTGGTACCGGAGGCCAAGGGTACTACGCGGGCCTAGCAGCGCTGCTGTAGCTCGCGCATGAGGAAGTACCAGAGCTGGATGTGCTTCGCTCTACCCTCCAGCCAAGGCTTCTGACACAGGAGGATCATGGCCCTATTGTCAGCGTACACGACCAAGGCAGAGCTAGGCCGCTCACCTAAGTCTGTGAGCAAGAAGGTCAGCCAGTTGAGTATTGAGAATACCCCTGATCCTGCGAAGGTTGTAGAAGTCTGCGGAAACGGCATATCAACGAAGTCTGCGGACACGAGCCCTGCAGAAAGGCCCATCGACGAAGAGCAGATTCGTCAACAAGGCGAGGCTCTGCGGGAAGTGGCAGAGGAGCAGCTTTCGTTGGTGGCAGAAAAGCGTTCTGTCGGAGTTGTAGAACAGGAGCGCTTTTTCTGCAGATGGCTTCTACAGACTTCTGTGCTTTTGTAGAAGCGGTCTTGGCAGAAACGAGAGTGTACAAAATCCTCTGCCGATTTGGCATCAGGGGCCATTCGCAGAAGGGTTGTCCTCTGCAGAAGTATCGCGCAGAAGACATTTCTGCGGGTGACCCTTTCGGCAGAAGCGACTCTCGGAAATGCGTTCCAGCAGGACCTCGGGCAGAGTGGCGAAAGAACCTGTTCGCGCAGAATTGCGTTCTGCCGAAGTTCAGCAGAAAGGCCATTCGGCTATCTCTTCTGTCGACGACCCCCTCGGCATAAACGAAATTCGGCAGAAGCACGGCAGAGAGTCATCTCGGACTTTGCTTCTGCGAGCGACCCCTTCGACAGAAAAACGAGGACTTCGTTTTCCTGATGAAGGTGCGTTCCGAAATCGCGAGAAACTTGTGATTTCGTAAGTTAACCTCGGAACCGATCTGGACCAGAAAACGGCAAAATCTACCTGCGACATTGAGAAATTGAACACGTGACCCACATTTCGTAACTGCGGAAATGTGCGTAACATCTGACAGTTTCATAACTGAAACTGTTAGAATAACTACTTCTAAGTGGGTAAAAATTACCAACTAAGCATGTGCTGTAATTTTCACCTGTCATTGCTGACTTGGCACTTCCGCAGAAGCTCCCGTTATAGCAGTAAACTCTGCATTGAGCTCCTGTGCTGCCATGGGACCATCGTAGATCTCAGCCTCACACATGGATTGGGCAACGAACGACGAGCGGGTGGACCTCCAAGAGATGGCGCCTGTGTCAACTTATACATATTATCTATGTAGAAGTTATAGGCTAGACTGAGGTATGCTTCTAGTGAGTACAACCAACTAGTATTTGTTCTAGGTTTCCACCTCTAGTAATCATTCGTTTCTACGTTAACATGGTATCACGCTTAGGTTAGGATCCCCCCGCCTACCGCTTCCGCCCGTCGCGCCTCCTAGGCCCCGTCACGCCCCCTAGGCCCCGTCGCGCCCCCCCTGGGCCCCGTCGCGCTCGTTAGGCCCCGTCGCGCCCCCCCTGGGCCCCGTCGTGCCCGCTGGGCCCCGTCGCGCCTCCTAGGCCCCGTCGCGCTCCCCCTGGGCCCCGTCGCGCCCACTGGGTCCCGTCGCGACCCCTAGGCCCTAACGCGCCCCCGCTGGGCCCCGTTGCGCCTCCTAGGCCCCGTCGCGCCCCCCATGGGCCCCGTCGAGCCCGCTGAGCCCCGTCGTGCCTCCTAGGCATCGTCGCGCCTCCTAAGCCCCGTCGCGTCCCCCCTCTCTGGGCCCCGTCGCGCCCCTCCTAGGCCCCGTCGCGCCCGCTGGGCCCCTTCGCGCTTCCTAGGCCCCGTCGCACCTGCTAGGCCCCGTCGCGCCCCCCCTGGGCCCCGTCGCGCCCGTTAGGCCCCGTCGCGGCCCCCCTGGGCCCCGTCGTGCCCGCTGGTCCCCGTCGCGCCTCCGCGGCCCCGTCGCGCCCCCCCTGGGCCCCGTCGTGCCCGCTGGGCCCTGTCGCGCCCCTTAGGCCCCGTCGCGCCCGCTGGCCCCTGTCGCGCCTGCTGTTAGCGCTCGCCCGCCTGGCCTCCTCCTAGTGCCGCTCGGCCTCCTCCTAGTGCCGCCCGGCCTCCTCCTAGTGCCGCCCGGCCTCCTCCTAGTGCCGCCCGGCCCCTTCCTAGCGCCGCCCGGCCTCTCCTCAGCGCTGCCCGGCCCCTCCTCGTGCCCGACCGGCCCCAGCAGCACCAGCCTGGCCCCTCCCAGCACCAGCCCGGCCCTAGAGCACCTGCCCGCCTCCCCTGCTCGGCCTGCCGTGTCCTCTCGGGCCCTGTGTCTTCTGCTTGCCTGCGCTGGGACGCCTAGCTGCTGCCCTACTGGAGAGTGCTGCCGCCGTGTCCCCGCGCCGCTGTGCTCCTGTGCCGCTGAGGAGCTGTGCTGCTGTGCCGCTGTGTCGCTGAGGAGCTGTGCCGCTGACCCTGCACGATGGCTGACTTTGTGCTCCGCCTGGACGCTGAGGGCCACGCGGTTGACTTCGCCGCCTGGCTCTCCGATCTTCGCCGCCAGCTTACAGGTCAGCGCCAGGATGGCCACTCTCTGGTTGTCCATGCTGATGGCTTGCTCCCCCGTCCCCCTGCACCTACTCCCCTCCCTGCTGACCCCTCCTCTGATGACCGTGAGGCTTTCTCTACTGCTGCGCTAGCCTGTGCGGTCTGGGACTCACGCGATGCAGTAGCTCAGGTTGCTATTAGTCACGCCCTCCCTGTGTCTGAGCGCTCGCGTTTTGCTACTGTTGACACGGCCAAAACTTATTTAGACGCCGTTATTGCTCGCTATTCCACCCCTGCCTCCGCTTCTGCTGGCCGCTTGCTCTTTCCGATGCTGTTCCCAGACCTGGCTGCCTTCCCTACTGTCGCAGATTTTGCCACTCATTTGCGTGCCCTAGAGACTCGCTATCGCACTGCCAGCACTGCTGCCCAGCTCACTGCGCTCCCCCCTCCTTTCTGCATGACGCTCTATTTTATCGCTATGCGCCTGCCAGACCGCCTCGCTAGTGCTCGCGACCACTTTCTTAGCCAGCACCCGGGTGACCTCACCCTGACCGCCTTTGTCGACACCCTCACTGAGATCGAGACTCGCCAGCGCACTATCGCTCAGTCGAGCGGTGCGC